GTTATATGTTATTCTGCTTACCTTGGTTGGAGTAAGTGGTTATTTGTTGCTTTTGTCTCTTCTCTAACCAGTCTGAAGGCCCTGTCACATGAGGTTTTAGACAACATATGTCCACATCTGCAAATTGTGCTCAACACGCTGGCACACGCTGAGGAAAAACAAGAAAAGCATGAATTAGCAGCCTGTTTTGTACATGATCATACTGTGTTGCTAACAACTTGAACAGATATAAAACCATGAGTAAATGGTCCCTACATTAAACATAACATGTACAAGTTTAATATAATGTGTTTGACCTGCAGCACGTATGTGCAACATTAGTGGAACATCTGCAGAACGTATGTGCAACGTTAGTGGAACATCTGCAGCACGTATGTGCAACGGTAGTGGAACATCTGAAGCACGTATGTGCAACATTAGTGGAACATCTGCAGCACGTATGTGCAACGTTAGTGGAACATCTGAAGCACGTATGTGCAACATTAGTGGAACATCTGCAGCACGTATGTGCAACATTAGTGGAACATCTGCAACACGTATGTGCAACATTAGTGGAACATCTGAAGCACGTATGTGCAACATTAGTGGAACATCTGCAGCACGTATGTGCAACATTAGTGGAACATCTGCAGAACGTATGTGCAACATTAGTGGAACATCTGCAGAATGTATGTGCAACGTTAGTGGAACATCTGCAGAACGTATGTGCAACGTTAGTGGAACATCTGCAGAACGTCTGCGTAGTGTGATGGAGGAAATTGTGATGGCCGCAGAAGTCACACAATAAAACACAGCATCAACCAATCAAAACACATTGATAGATGTTAGGTGTCATTTAGTTGTCATAAGGAGACACCAGAGAATAATTTTGAACCTACTCAGATTTTTTCACCGTATGCAGAACTGTTGATCATTTTTACGTGTTTCAGGTCTGCTACAGGTATGGTAAATATATATTCACATGTGCTACATGAAAGTTACTCTCACATATCAGAAACTAGCTGGTTAATTATGAAGTGGACACATAACTTCTATCAATGGGTGGGCGTGTCCCTCGATGATTGACTGACAGCTGTCAACCTGTCGGGGAAGAAGTCAGAGCGGGGCTCATAAAAAATATATTCATGGGACTTAGTTTAAAAAAAGAGTGCAGAGCAATCTGACAGATATTTATCAACAAACRTTTGAAGGAAATGATCAACCCTTAAATGAACTGTCATCCACCCCCTGAGAGGACGAGGTGCAGCGCACCAMTGGATGCTGGAGAGAACAACAACAGGAAGAGAGGGGAGAGGTGGGCCTTAAAACATAGACCTGGACCGATGCAGTACCATCAGCCAACAGCTGCATGTGTTCTGCCATAAATATGATGGTTGTTGTTTGATCAGCCCATTACTAGATGCCTAAATGCATTGATTTTATGCCAACTGATTCGTTGGGTATGTTATTGACTAAACATGAACCTAATAAAGGGACCAGTAAGTGTGTTAGCAGGTGGACAGAAACACTGCAGCATGTACAGAATACTATTGTGAGGTGAAGTTACAGAAGTGAGCTGCTTGTTAATGAAGTTGTGTTCTTCACAGGCTCATGTCTAAGCTGACATTAGCAGACATGAATATCTTGCTGTTTCGCTGCGAGGCAGAAGAACAGGAGGATGGTGGAGGTTGTTATAGTGTCCCAGGATGGGAAAGCCTGAAATATGCAGGAATACAAGGTTAATGTTGAACTCATGAAGTTTCCAATAATGCTTACATTCCAGTTTGTCTACTAAACCCAGTGTCTGAAAAACATTAAGTGTGTTGTGTCTGCAGGGCTGATGTCAGTGTTGGCAGATATCCGTCCTATAAATGACCTGGGCCACCCTCTGTGTGCTAACCTCAGAGACGGAGACTGGCTCATAGACTTTGTCTCCAACAGGCTGAAACACCGGGAAGGACCACTAGCACAGGTGATGTCCAAACTATAACACAACATATCCTTCTTCATGTCTTAGAGGAGTCAAACATRCTTTAAATACAGAATGTTCCTATGATTTGAAGTAACAGAGATCTGCATTATTTACAATTTCAAATAAGTTTAAAAATATCAGCAGCAGAAGGAACGTGGAACAATGAGAGTGGCTAAAAGAAGTGGACATGGGGACTAGGAAGAGATGGACTGCAGTAATGCTGCGTTCACACCGAACGCGATTTCAGCATCAGGAGCAGCAGGTTTACATACAAAGTCTATGGTGG